ACTGGAGTTAAGGACGGTTCGTAGCCACCATGTGGGTGCTGGGAATCGAACCAGGGTCCTCTGCAAGAGCAGTCAGTGCTCTTAAACGCTGAGCCATATCTCCAGCCCCCAAAATAAAATATTTGAAATTATTTTAATGATTTAGATTATATGAATTCCAAGAAGTCAGTAAATGCCTTTCTATATTTTTCCTGAAAATCCAAACAAGCAACTTACAGCAATGACTGTTTAAAGGCAAAGAACAGAGCAAAGGTAGGTCCAGTGACAAAGTATTCACCTAGCATAAATAGGACCCTCAGAACAATAACCAGCACCATATACACACAAAAATTAAATAACAGAGTAAAAGAAAAGTGTCTTACCAGGAGGACAAAATCAAGCAAACAAACAAGAGCCAAAGCAAAGCAAACACAATAATCCAGAAAGCAAAAACAGGTGCAAATGGTGTCATTCCAGGGCGATTCTTCCACGTAGACATGGAAGTCAAATAGACATGAAAGACTGCCAGCAAGGACAAGAAGCAGCAGCCCCTGCTGCCATCATCGCTTACTGACTCTAAGGAGGAAGATACCTGGGGGTGGGGAGGGTAAACTATGCTGTTTCATCTTCACCCAGTCTGCCCAGCAAAACTACATGGACTGGTAACATGTCAAGTTCATCCACTTCTCTCAATCCCCTTCCTGATCCTGTACAACCTCAAAAGGAGCATCTTGTCCATTCTTCATTACTCTCTAAATCCTAACAGAGTGGAGATAAACACTGACAGGAGAGAAGAAAGGAGACCAAGGAGCGATGAGCCCTAACCCACCCAAAGAAAGACTGTAGAAAAATAACCTGAACATTGGGAAATTAGAAGTCAATCCTAATATGATCAAGTATCATCTTAGAAGCCAAATTACAGCAAAGTGAAGCGTACAGAGGCAGAATCTTTGCATTCTTGTCATTTCTGTTTCAGAAATACACTTAAAAAGCAATGAAACAAAGTCCACTGGAGGAAGAGAGAAAGAAGGACAGCTAAAAGTGAGAAGAGAAAAAACGCAGGGCGTGGTGGCGCATGCCTGTAGTCCCAGCACTTGGGAGGCAGAGGCAGGAAGATCTCTGTGAGTTCAAGCCAGCCTGGTCTACATAGCAAGTTCCAGATCAGCTGGGGCTACAGGGAGACCCTGTCTCTCAACAACAACAATGATGACAACAACAACAACAAAAAAATGAAAAGACAAGCAGATAGTGCCAAGGTATACAGCAAGCTGTGCGCTGAAGCACAGGAGCGGCAGAAGGCATACCGAAAGGCCGTGTGAGGAGCTTCTCCACTCCCAGGATTTAGCCACTGCTAAGACTGGCCTTTCACCTTAATCTCTGTCTTATCTTATACAATAACTCACTTTTCTCATCATACAGAAAGTCATTTCTGGCCACACGTATTATAAGAAACTATTGGTTAAGGTCATGTTATCTACAGTACAGGGGAGGTCCTATTACCTGGCTGTGATACCATGAGGCTTTTTCAAATTACCTTGGAATCTGCTACTTTTTCCAGACCTAACTCTTTAAGGACCATGTTAATCCGTTCATTTTTTTCACAATTCCTCATAGTTGTTGGAAGCCGAAGAGCTGCCGAGAACTGTAAATTTTCTCTCACTGTCAGGGTACCCATCACGACATCATCCTTAAGGCAAAACAGGGCATTTTTGTGAGATACGTCAGGTCTTTTCTACAACCATCACCCCAGTATATATAATTTGATATATACAAATAACACACTCAAGATGAAACTCTAGCTCATGATGAACTATGTTTTCTAAGCTGTAGCAACTGCGTATAGACACTTGAAAAGTCCAAGGGAATCATTTGCACCCCCAGCTGTATACCCAAACAGGGCACACATGATGGCTACTAACAAACATTTCCAGACTGATTGGTAGAAGGAGTTGGCAAAGGCATCTACGATAGGAAGAAAGAAGATAAAAGGAAGGGCACAAAAAGTTCTGGAAATTAGGTATCTAGAACTGATACTGTTTTCTGACAACAGGATCATATTCTAAATCCTCTGTCTTTCCATTTAATACCATCCTCACTGTAATGGGAGAGTATGAAAAGCTTGTGTAAAGAAGTTGGTTCTATGAGCACGTCATATATTCAACTGGAAGCAATCTAAACTCTAAGCAAAAGCACTTGCCCATACAGAAGAGGAAACACACAATACACACCCACTTGTACTCACTTGAACCACATAACCTGAAGTGCATTTGAAATTGGCAGGTTGAGGTGCTCCATTTATCAAAACTTCTCCAGATAATCCACGTGGATCTTTCCTTGCAGCTAAGACATCTAACAACCTGTATGTAAAGGACATATAGGTCGTGGGGATTTTTTTTTTTTCCTTTTGGGTCTCCAAAACAGCTACATCGCTTAGCTACCCTAGGTCCAAATCTGCTGACATCCAAAGCTTAATTAGTCAATAAATCTATCGTATAAAAACAAATCTATAGGCTGGCATGGTGGTGCATGCCTTTAATCTCAGCATTGGTGAAGAAGAGGCAGGTGGATCTCTGTGAGTTTGAGGACAGCCTGGTCTGCATGGCAAGTTCCAGATCATCTAGGGCTACATAGTAAGACCCCATGTCAACAACAAAACTTGCCAAATTTATATACTTTAAATTCTCAGCTTCCTTTTTGTTATGTGCTACAACAAAGCCCAAAATATAAAAGCAAGAAAACATTGGCTTATATAGCACAGACCTCCCTAAAAGACACTCCTGGGAAATGGACCTTGGGGATCACAACCCAGACATGATGCCTTAACTCTTGACTTCAATTATACCTTCTTCACCATTTCATTTTTAATATTACTACATTCTTTTACCTCTTCACTAGCTCATAATATGGTCCACCACTATGTACCAATCACTTCATCATGTCCTATTAGTAAAGTTGACCAAATAAGACTTTCTGGTCCTTGGGACAAAAATCACAAGTTAGCCCAACTACATGCTATCCACAGAACCTAGGGACAAGAAACGCACTGCAAATAAACAGCCATTTGTTAATGTAAATGTTATATTAAAGGCACACTGCAATGAACAGAAAAGGTTTACTTATACATATGCTGCACTCACGAAGATTTGCCTCCACCTGTGGGTCCCAGAATGGCATTGAGGCCAGGTTTCATGATCCCACTAGAAACACAAAAACATACTGGTTTAATGTTACATTTTACATGAAGTTCTTTTAACTTAAGGTCTGTGCTGAATACATTTAATAAAGGAGGATAAAATTGTAAACCAGCACCAACTCTTAAAGGGAAACAAGGAGTCATTGATTAATAGTCTAATATAAAAGGATGTCAGCCACCTGGACTGATAAGAAAAACGAATCAGGCCCCTTGAAATTCCTTTCCTTTATTGTTTGTTAATTTGCTCTTGAAACAACTTAAATCTTTTGGAAAATGACATATCAATGCTCTAGGTTTCTCGATGTTGGGTTAGAGATGTAACTTAGTAGTAGAGTCAGGGCTTATCATGCTTGAGGCCATAGGCACAATCCCCAGAAACAACAGAAGTTCTTTTAAGCAAGTAAGATTCTCATATTAGATTCTTAAAATAGTAGATTCTTAAAATAAGTAAGGAAGGTTCTTAGAGAATCTGCACTCCAATTATACCTTTTAACACAGTGTAAAGCACATAACAGCTTTTGAATAAAGCTGATAACCAATTGCCTTCTTACTACCTAGCCAAGTTCACTACAATGATCATGATTTATAGAATGCCAGTGAGTCATGTTTTTTACCGCTAAAGTCTAACCAGACCCAAAGTCAGGCATCTCAAATACAAGTCCAAATGTTAGAATGGAAGCACTTCAAAGGACACAAAACCATCATCAGGCAAGATAACTCGTCAGGTTATGTGAGTGTAAAGGCCAGAGCTTTGATCCCCAGAACCCACTGTGGATGGAAAGAACCAACTCCCAAAAGTTGTCCTCTGACCTCTACATGCATTACTTGATTGCCCTGACATATGCATGTCCACTCTCACAGATCTCTCACTCTCCCTCTCTCTGTCTCTCTCTCTCTGTCTCTGTCTCTCTTATACACACACACACACACACACACACACACACACACACACATACACACACAAACACAAACACACACAAATAATAAAATAAACTTTAAAAAAGAATGTGGGGCTGGAGAGATGGCTCAGCAGTTAAGAACACTGACTGTTCTTGCAGAAGACCTGGGTTTGAATCCCAGCACCCACATGGCAGCTAACAACTGCCTGTAACTCCAGTTCCAGGGGATCTGACAACACAGTGCACTTACCTACATGCAGGTACAACACTCATACACATAAAATAAAAATAATAAATAATTTTTTTTTAAAAAGAAGAATGTGTTACCAATTAGAGAAGGAAAAGCACACCCTCAGAAGAAACCATTTCTTTTCCTGTTAAATATTTAGCAATGATTTATAGGTATATAATACATAGCAGCACATTTCAACAAACTAAAAGGATGAGTAAAAATAGTGAATATTTAGACTGACTATGAAGATGGAAAAATTTTCAGCAATGTTGACCATGCTGAGATGCAAGAATGTTTGAAATTTTATCCTAAAGGAAACAGGTAGGGTGGTTAAGGAAAATGAACAATAGAAAGAAGATTCTAAAGATACTGCAATTAGAGGCCTGAGTCGCCTGCCCATCCAAGACTCTGGGGACATGCTCAGTTCCTAGAATTAGTAAGTCAGTATTCCACTGAGAAAATAGTATCTATTCCAAGTGAAAGGTCAAAGCTTCCAGCTTTCATTCAAATGATACCTAGAGAGGGTCATCCTGTGGTTACATATTGTCATAAATAATAAATTCTCCAGTACACCTCTATCAATGCACTTGGATCCAAGAAGACTCCACATTTATTTTCTGTTGTACCTGAAGTGTTGCAATTATATGATGGCTGATGGGGGCTAAGGTGAAATGTACTTTTTTTTTTCTTGTTAACTGAACCATCAGACAAAGAGAATGGGTCATTAAGCCTCAATCAAGTTGTTACAGAAAAATCCCTTATTCTTTTGTTGTGTTACCCCTCCAATATACTGCTCAACGTAACATGGTCATGCCTGGGTAAATTTTCAGAGTGCATCTATTTATACCTCTTACTGCATCTCCTTTATTAATAGCTAACCCAGCAACTACTTCTAAAATTAACAGAACCTTTTATTCAGTAGGGATTTACTACCATGAAATTTTCCAGGATTTAAAAGTAACTACTTATATAAAGACCATGAAATTCAGTATGATTTAATCAGAAACTGAACATGAACGTGTTAAGATGGCATTGAAGAGGTTGGCTTGCATTGACACTACATTCTAACACTAGAGAAAACAATGTTGGATCACAAATGGAAGTGTTGATCTGGAGCAGTGGTTGACTCCAACTCCATTCACTCAGTACCATCATTAGATATATGTACATATTAGGTATGTACACGTAAGACCCTCTTGTATGACATGGAACAGAGCTAAGAGGAAAAAATGCAAGCAAATGAAAAACCTAAGTCCCAGCCCTCCTGGACTTGACACTCTAGTCCAGGGATGAGAGTACATGAAGCTTGTCTCCCAGTTCTTGATTTCATCAACAGTGCTGTTTGAACAGAGATATGCTTTGAGAGCTGCAGCAGTTTTCATGGTACAAAGTCAGAGTTCAGTTGTAACATTGATGTATGGCTTATAAAGAAAATATTTATGATCTGTCCCTTTATAGGAAGTGTTTGTTGATAACCTCTGTTCTACCCTATGGCCCATAATCCCCAACCTCCCCACCCTACTCTCCACCCATCATCCCTCACAGCCATTCCCTACCCTTATTTATGGCTTTACAACCTTTGCGTGCAGTCGTTCTCCCTCGTTATCCCATAGGATGTCCCCAATAAGAGCTGTGATGTACTGGGACCACTTCTCTTTCTTTTCTGAATTACATAAACTTCAGTTCATGCCTCCTTGGAGTCCCTGTCACTTCCATTACATTTTAGTGGAGAACAATCAGTCCTTTTGTTCTGTTTTGTTTATGGACAAAGGAGGAAAATGCCAAGCATCACACACACACACACACACACACACACACACACACACGCACGCACGCACGCACACACACACAGCACGCACGCGCACACACACACACACACACACACACACACACACACACACACACCTTCATTTTCTCGGGCCCCATGTGCCCAGCACTCAAATTCATGGCAAGCTAAGGAAAAGTTTATTTTGGCTCAGGGTTCCAGAGGTCTAGATGCCCATAATGGTGGGGAAGGCGGGGCAGCAGGAGCAGGAAATTGAGAGATCTCAACTGCATACAAGAAGTAGGGAGCGTGGGAAGTGGGGTGAAGCTATAATAAATCCTCAAAGCCCATCCCCAGTGATGTGCTTCCTCAAGCAAAACTGCACTTCCTAAGGGCTCCATATTCCCCCCAAACAGTGTCACCAGCTTGGGACCAAGTGTTCAAATACATGACCCTATGGGGGACATTCCTCATTCAAATCACCACATCGGTAAATGAAAAGATAATGAAACTTTTTCTACTTCGTGAATTTAAACTATGAGACAGTGAAAAGAGAAAATGATCCTTTGGCAACTATCACAGTTGTAGCTGGATCCAGACAGCAATTATCAATGAAGACTGAAACTTAAGAGCTTAGTGAGGAATACGGTTCTGTAATGTCAGCAGAATACTTCCCACATAATACCAATCAAGTACAAACAATAAAGTTGTGACATTATGGTGAAGTTTGGCAGACAGCAACATCACCAGCTGATCAATTTAATATCACAAGCAGGATAGATACCATGTTAGATGAAAGAAAAGCACCATATTAGAGGAGAATAAAAAGTTAGGATTTGTGGGGCTGGAGACATGGCTCAGCGCATTGGCTGCTCTTGCAGAGGACCCGGGTTTGATTCCCAACACCCACATGGCACTAACAACTGTCTATAACTCTAGTTCTGGGGTATCCAACACCCTCTTCTGACCTCTGTGGGCACTACTTAACACGGTACACTTACCCACATGCAGGCAATACACTCATACACATAAAATAAAAATAATAAAGTATTTTTTAAAGATAAGATGTGATGGTCAATCTACATGAGGAGCCCTCAGGAGCACTACTACCTTTGTTATGAGCCTACATTTGCCCTTGGCTGCTGCTAGTCAATGGAGTGATTACATAAGAGAAGGTCCTTCTTTCTAGAAAGCTTACACTGGAGATGTGCACTGGATAGCTTTAGTTGTCAACTTGACACAGCTGGGAAGAAGGAAGTTCAACTGAGGAATTTCCTCCATTTGATTGGCCTGTGGCCATGTCTGTGAGGCATTTTCTTGATTGTTGAGTGGTGTTGCATGGATGCAGCCCACTATGGAAGGTGTCACTGCTGGGCAGGTGGTCATGGGTTGTATAAGAAAGCAGGGCAGGCTGAGCACAGGCTCCCCCATGGTCTCTGCTTCAGTCCCTACTTCAAGGTTCCTGCCTTGGCTTACTTCAGTAATGGACTACAAGTTTTAAAATGTAATAAACCCTTTCCTCCCCATGATGGTTTTGGTCGAAGTGTTTTATCACAGCAATAGAAAGATAGAACAAGGTGCTAGAGATAAAGGAGCGCCAAGTAGCCAGCCTAGTCTCAAAAGATCACCGCAAAGCCCTGACAACAGTGGGTACAGAAAGAGAGTGATAACATCAAAGGCAGAGAAGTGTCAACAGGTAAACTGGGTCATGTTCCTGCAGGGTTAAGTCTGAAATTATTTCCCCACATAAATTACTTAATCTTCCAAAGAATATAATGAATTTCCCTCAGGACTGGAGGATAGACGCACATGTATTGGGATGGTGATTCTTCTGGAGAGCTTCAGTGCTGGTGAGGGAGCACGCAGGTATTAGATCTAGAGGGGACAAACTAAGCATAAGAGAAAGATTGCTCACAAGGAAAGAAAACCTTTGGAATTCTTAAGGGTGTATTTTGTCTTGTCCTCTCACAAAGGGAAGGAAAAATAAGCATCTGAAGAAAAACTGATTCTCATCAGCTTTTTTGGAATGGCACTGTCTTGAATACCGACGGTGCCATCAAACACAAATCAAACGTAAGACAATGAAACCCTTCCTACAGCACAGAAATTCTACTTATTTGAAGGCAGCAGAAAAGAGAAAGACTAGAAACTCTGTAGGCAAAAGAGAGATGACCTCATGCAAACCTAAAGCAGAAATGTGAACAAGCAAGAATTCCACCCCTTGCTGTCCCTTCAACTGTAAAAACTGAAACAAACAAACAAATCAAGATTTATCTCTACTTTATTACTCTAGAAAAGGCCAAGACAGTGACCTCCTCCTCTGCTGAAATGCATACCATTCAGCCATAAATGTGTTTATGGAGCCTTGAGCACGTGATGCACTCAGTGTGCTGAGTCACTATTCTACCTGTTTAAAAAATCACAAGGAAGTGACAGCATGGTTCAGTGGGAAAATACCTGCCTAGCATTTGTAAAGTCATGGGTTCAATCCCCAACACACACACACACACACACACACACACACACACACACACACACACCAGGTGCGGCTAGGAGTATAGCACGGTGGTAGAGCATTTTCATTGTGCCATGTGTACGAGGTCCTAGACTTGGTCCCTGTTAATGGAAGAAAGAAAAATTACCAGGCATGATAAACCTTTCCAGTTTCTCCAGCATGTGAGAGGATGCAGGACATGGGACTTTGAGGGCTAAAACCCAAGAAATTTAGGAAACACAGGGCTGAGTTGTTTCCTCTCCACCTCACCTCTCCTCACACACAATAGGTACCATTGACAATTTGATCCAGAGCACCATCACACAGTATGCATTATACATCTATTCAAGCAGTACTTATTCAAATCATATTACCTTCTATAGCTTTCAACACAAATGTCAAGTAGTGATTGTGTGTGTGTGTGTGTGTTTGTGTGTGTGTGTGTGTGTTTGTGCAGTGCTGAAGACTGACCCAGGGCCTTGCATACAATAGACAAACAGTTATATCCAAATCCCTAGATTATTATGTTTTACAAAAGGTTATCAGTTTTTCATTCATCAATCTACATATGCATGTAGAAAAGGTAATAGCTTTGCACTTACCGGCCTCTCCTTATTCTCTTAGTCAGGATTAACTAACACAAGAAAGAAAGAAAACACTGGCATGCATCCAGCTTTGCCCCATGAGTAGTTATAAGCCTGCAGTGCTCCTGGTCTCAGCCCATTCCAGACTCAGGGCCTCATCATTTTTCTCCCACTTACATTCAATAATTTTCTCCCCTATCTCATCATTTCTCTGCCCTCTGAAGGAAGTAGGTTAGTATTAACAGAGGAAAAAAAAAAAACATAGTTCTATATAAACATTAAGAAAACAGAGTATCTGATTCCACAGAAATCTGCAACCACACACAGGGTCAAAGGACTCTTAACTGTTCCCCAGCCTAGGAGAGACAAGAAAACTACCTGGCTTTGTCTAAAAGTATTAATCGTCCCAATAAACAAGATTCACATAAGCCAACCTGTCTAAGAAAGCACAAATTCTCCTCTCAACACCATACTGATGAATATAGGCTCAGTTCTCTAGAAACGAGGCCAACAGCAACAATCTTTAAGGGCTAGCAATAGTGAACTAATGGCAAGGCCAGTAGTGAAGGGCTCCATAGAAACCTCAGTTCCCCTCCAGTCTCGCTCCTACTTTAATACACATTCTAAATATTAATTCATTGCTGGATTAAAAAGAAAATCATAAAACAGAATTGACTGCATTAGTTTGGATCCCAAATTCTCCTCAATTTAGACTTCAATAGTATAACTTTAGCTAAATTATTGGGTTTATTATTTTTTTTTCATGCAGGGTTTTATGTAGCCCAGATGGCCTTAGCATCTAATCCTCCTGTCTCCACCTCCAAAGTGCTGGGATTATAGACTTGTTAGTGTTATTTTATGTGGTTCTGGGAATTGAGCTTAGGGCTTTGTACATGCTAGGCAAGCCCTCTATCAAATGGACCACATCCCCAGTCCCTCCACTTGTCTTTATTATGAAAAGTACTAAGTTAATTGTAAAAGACTACAACTTGCTTATTATAAATAAGTCATTCAATTAAAACAGGTCTATGTGGAAAAACAAAGGACTTTCAAAAATATACTGCATTTCAACCTCTGTGCTACTAGAATATAAAGGCATAAAGGACAAAGTATCTAAAAGTGCCTGGATCAAAAACTTATTAGCAGGTCTTCTATTATACAGACTCTGAGGTTACAATTACATCTCTACAATAAAACAAAACAAAACAAAAAACCCCAGTAAATCACAAAGTAAGGACTCTACCTCTAAAACACAAGACTTAACCAGTAAAACAAAATGGTACATTAAAATGTTCAATTTCTCAAAAAAGATAAAAGCTTTTTTTAAAAGTTCTGGCAGTTCCTCTGCAATTAAATACCTAATGAGAGATCAAAATATTTATGTCCTAGTTTAAGCAAAAGAAATGGAAGCATGTGTCTATGTACATATGTAAAAAGACACGGATTTGTATGTCTACAGCAACTGACTGGGCAGAGGAGAAATATGTGACAGTCACAATCACATACCTGACATTTACTAGTATTTCTTTCTCAACTGTTTTCCGACAAAATAGAAAGCCACTTTTCACTTTGACTCGATAGGTGATATTATGAAAACTTAACACAGCTCCTTCAGTAACTGTCTTCATGTCACCAGAGTTCATCCCAGGAAGGCCATTGGTGTTCCTCTGTGGCATTGGGACTAAAATGTGGTCATTATTGGAAGACATCTGGAGAATTTCTGCCTTTCTGTAGAGGAAAAAGCAACAGTAAGTTGATATTAGAGATTGATGAGACTGTCAACACAGATAACAGTACTTTTATAACAAGCCCTTAAATTGCTCTGTAATTTGTAGATTCCTTCCCAAGGGAACAGCACACATCACTGTGATAAGAACCACTTTAGATCAGGTGATGGGATACAGACATTACTTTGACTGTTTATGTTCCCACTAGATATCAAATGCCTAAGAAATAAATGGGCCTTAATTAGACAGCAGAATATGAAAAATACTCAAAACTCATCAAGCAGGAAAAAGACGGGTGAGTTTTAATCCTCTCTAATGGCAGCAACCAGAGCAGCCAGGACTTGAGGAGTCAAAATCCTCGAAAGGAGGGAACAGAATGACACAAACCAGCTCCCTGAGCTCTTTCTCTCCTGGACTCTGCACATAGAAATTTCATACACAGAGAACCAAACTCATGAAAACCAGACAGAAAGAAGTCACTTAATATTTCTAAGCAAATATTTCAGCAAAATGTTCCTCCTGTGGGGACACAGAATTTGGAGTTGTGGACTGAGAAGCCCTAGAAGCACTGAACTTTTGAGAAGGACTACTGACAAACCAAAATTAGATCAGCCTCTGTGCCATCCAGGTGATCTGCTCAGACCTGGCTAGGAGAAAAGGTGAATCCACTCTCAATATTGTCACCATGCAAATTTTCAATAAAAAATTACCTAGCGGGGGCATAGAGGCTCATGTCCGTAATCCCAGGATTGAGAGAGAGAGGGAGGGGGCAGAGACAGAGACGAGAGACACTGACACAGTGAGAAAGTTAGGCTTGATAAAGATAAAAGTACATCTGTATGTAGTCCCAGCTACCCAGGAGGCTGAGGCAGGAAAAAGGTGAATTCCAGTACAGCCCAGGCAATTCAGCAGGATCTCATTTGGTACAAATAATAATAGAGGGGGAGGGGAATGGGAGGAGGAAGAAGAGTCGTTGTTTGGGGATACAGCTCATCAAAAAACAAAAAATTGAAAATTTGATTCAATATCTAAGTATAGCAGCAGTTTAAATATAGATTAGGACAGGGAATTGGTGAACTGGAAGACCAATGTGCAGGAAACATCCTGGATAAAATTTATGAATGATGAAAAGTGTCACCTTGGGGGAAAGACAACCTCCAGATTGAAAAGAAAGACCTTTACAAAAAAAGCATAAGAAACAAGGAGCATGATTAAACAGTCTGTCATACTAGAGACCTCGGGGAGAGTATGATCAATATTTAAAGAAGTGCTAGCCAGTACTTTCCAAAACAAATGAAGGTTTCAAGTCAAAGAATGAAGAAGTTCAAAAATATCAAGCAGGATAAATAGAAAATGACCTCAAGGCATGCCAACGTAAAACCAACAAAAAGCAAAATAATCTCTGAATAATGTTTCTTAGCATTTACTCTATTCATTTTTAAAACTGGAAAAGTAGTGCACCATTTAAACACCTAGAATAATACTTGCAAAAACCTGAACACAATAAAAAAGTAATAATTGGCCAAAATTCTGTTTTCCTGAAGCAATGTAAATGAAGGCACAATGTAGAAATTTTACAGCTTTATTTAGAAATTGCTGTAAACCTGTATCTTCAGAAACCAAACTATACCAACTCAAACATAGCAACCACTTGCCAACTCCATGTTAATGTTTGGCCACTAGGGACACTTTCAAACCTTCTAAGATGTATTATAAGAATTAAGAACACACTACTTGACTTAATATTGATCACTGGCTCAAGATAGAATAAAAAAAAAATCACAAATGTAGCTAAGGTACCAAAGAAAGATCATCCATGCCAACAAAGATGGTAATCTAGAACTAGAAATACAGTAACAATGTTGGAAGGGTATGTGTTGATGTCTTCCTGGAAAGGGATTAAGTTTGTACTGCTGAGCAACCACCTAGTTCCTAATACGGTACTGACAACCTTCCTCAGGGAGATGCAGGGCCTTTCTGACTCAGGAGTCATAAACCAAGGGATTAGACAGGTCTAAGCAAAGAACACATTTAGTAGAAGTATATTAGTCCAGAAGGAAGGAAGGGAGTGAGAAAGGGAATAAATTCTAGCTTGTGTATGAAAAAGTACCTTACCCTATGATGAAATAAAACAAGGATTAAAAAAATAAATCAAATATAAAACCTTAGTCAATACTATATTAGCCTCATAGTACCCAATCTCTAGCTAAGATGGCACACAGGATTTAGATGACTCACAGAGTTTCAAGGGTCCCCTGGTAGAAGTCTTCCCTCACAGAGGCGGCTTTCCTGTCGTGCATGCTGCTCTCATTGGCTAGCATTCCTTTTACATAAAGAAAAACACTCAGATCCTACCCAGACTTCCCATATCATTTCCTGGTTCTCAGAGGACTGCTAATCCTAACTGGGGCTTTCTTATTTTCAGCATCTCCGGCCCTATGTAAAGACTGTAAATCCTTGAATAAAAACCTTCAAATAACTTCACAAGCTCACTCAAGTTATCTGGGTAGTTTATGAATCTCAGCTAAACTGAAAAGTCCTTCCCATGGGATCACAGCCCTTTCCTCTTTCCAACTGTGACTTCTCTGGGGATCAACAGCGTCACTTGACTTCTCTCTGCTTTCTCATCAGTAAGGCCAAACTTACTTAAAAGTCTGAACATTTCCTTTCACTATATCATGTCAGAATGATAATCTGCTTCAAAAATAAATTCATTCTTTCACTTTTTACTGTACTATCATGTACTTCTCTCCAACCAGAGTACAAAGCTCACTTTACATATGATGAAACATACACACAGGTAGCTTCTGTCCTCAGTTAGACACAGCTGCCCACTTATTCCTTCTGCGCATGCAGGCAGATGCAAGGGCAGCCACAGGACAGGAGATCAGGACCATTCCCTCAGACTTCTCCTACTACTGATTCTAGCCTATGGAGAGTTACTCTCTGCCTCACCACCACATGACCACTGGGTAAGCGTGTATCTTCTTAAACTGTTTACTGACATTAATGCCAGGAGATGACGGTGCTGGCAAGGAGCACGAGGCCTCAAGTTGTTAAGTGATTGTTCAAACTTATAAATGAAAAAGAAAAAGGCAAGCAGACTATGATTTTTGATTTAAAAAATGATTCGTTGCATTTCAAATATCTTCTACTGATCAGTGGTTCTCAGGTGTCTCTCATCTGACATAGCCACTCTAAAGCTCCCAGGGCTGAAAACATTCTAAGGCTGCTCAGTAAAATGTTTTTGGAGTCAGTCCACTGACAGTTCCAGGACTCCACATTGTTGTTGCAGCAGAGATCTGGGTACAAGCCATGATTTAGGACAGATAGGAAGAGACTCCATCGTGGAAGGTGTATATGCTCAGTGAGACTCCCTGAGGCTCGTGATGCTAATGAGGGTTTTCAAGGAACACTCCGGCTGTATAGAGAATGCTGGAGGAAGGTGAGGCAAGGGCAGAAATCAGGGCCAGGTAGTATAGAAAGCAGGACAGACATGCTTAGGGAAAAGGAGGGTGTAGACGGGTACTGACAGAAAGGGCCTCAGGTCCGAGGGCTCAGAGAACTGAACTTTTGTTAAAACCAAATAACCAGGAATAAGACTCTCCTGGATGACCAACTGACCCACCCTTTTTGGGTATTCCTTATGCAAAATTTTATTTCTCTTTTTTAAAAAATATTTTTTTTAAAAATTATGTGTATGTGTATGCCACATGTGTACGCAGTGCCCATAGAAGCCAGAAGAGAGTCCAGTCCCTTATAACTGAAGTTACAGGCAGTTGTAAGCCACTCAACATGGATGCTTGGAATTGAACTCGGGTTCTCTGGAGGAGCAGCAAGTGTTCTTAATCACTAAGCCATCTCTTCATCCCATTAAATTTTTATAAATGCTGTTTTTGGAAAAGTAAATGCTTTTTCCTTTCTTTTCCAAGTTCAAGTTCTCCAACTAAGATCCAAGAAATTAAAATGACACTGGGTTAAGACTGTAGCTCCTTGGCAGAGTTCAGGCACAGCAATCTCAGTCCTTTAAAAAGCAAAACAAGGGCCAGCAAGATGGTTCAGTAGGTAAAGATGTTTGCCACCAAGTCTGACAAGCAGAGTTCAACCCCTGGAATCCACATGGTGGAAGGAAAGAACTGATTCCTACAAGGTGTCTTCTGACCTTGTTGTATATGAGCATGTGTGTGCATGCACGCACACATTGTAAAAGTAATAAATAAATTAAAAGCAAAATGAAGATTGGGGATATGACTTAGTGGGTAAACTGCCTGCTGCTCAAGCATGAGGACCCAAGTTCAATTCCTAGCACCCATGTAAAAAACAAAAAACAAAAAACAGGTATGGCGATGCATGCCTCAAATCCCAGGGTTAAGGAGATGGGGACAGGAGGTTCCCAGGGCATGCTGGCTTGCCAATCTAGCCAAATCAGCAAACTCCACCCACTCACATTGTGACCCCAGTCACCCAATGACCACCTGCAGAACTCAGCAAGTCCTCCACAGACTTCAGAAGATCAGCAGCAAGAATCTTCTAAGCCTACAGATGATCTGCTTCTAGGCTCAGAAGACAGCCTACCCCTATTAGAACTAAGACCACTTCTGACACACCATTTGAATGGCAACTCAGAGTAGCCCCAAGACTGAACACCAAGCACCATTCAGCTGGTCCACAACCTGATAAATTGGGGTGAGAGCAAACAAAGATGCATATACCCATTCAACAATGATAAGATCAAATATCCATACCAAGAAACACCACCCACAACCTAACTCTAGATGTCTAAGTCCCATCACAAAAACACAACATGAATAAGCAAGATACTATGTCTCCTCCAGAAATTATCAACCCTTTGTAATGTTCCCTGGGAAAAGGAACTCAGCTGATGCACAGACAATGATTTCAAATAGCAATAATAAATATGTTCAAGGAACTCAAAGAGCCTGAATGAAGACTCAAACAAAAGCCTGAATGAAGACTCAAACAAAAGCCTGAATGAAGACT